AGGGAGAGATCAACACTGGGATTAATGTGAGGAAGGGGCAGATCACCAACATCTTGGAGGAGAATGTGGTGCAGCCATTGCTCGTCAGCACAAGTGCCATCACTCTGGCCGCCGAGTGTGTACGGATGATTTTGAAGATCGATGACATAGTTACAGTAAGATAGATTTGGATACTTGATATTTCATCTGTTGCTCATTCGAGGCGGATTTCTGTTCCGAATTTTGGTACTGGTTCTGGATGTTTACTTTGGATTTGAACTTTGTTTTTGTGTTTGTTAGGGGATGTTATGTAACCTGCCTTTGCCCGTTTATATCATCTAATCTGTTTGTCGTGTTAAGTTTTCGTGCCAATAGCGATGATGTTATTTTGCGTTTCTTGGTTTGTCAAAAGACTAGGTATCGAGTTCCTTCGCACAAATTAGACTCTAATTTATTGAATTTCTTTTTGCATTGCTCTGTGATTTGCCTCCGTTAATTTTTTGTTCATTTCTTGCGTTTGATTTACGTTTTCGTGTTTGAGCTTGCTTGGACATAATTCAAAATGTCGAGTAGAGTTTGAGTTTCTCCGTTTTGGCGTCGCGAGGGCGGAGTTTTGATTGAGGTGTGTGAGTCAGTTGATTGATTGTCTTGCATCCTTTGCACCTCTGTCACTTGCCCGAGGGTGCGCGGGATCTGATAATCTGAACCTTTTTTTCTTACTGCATTTCCCTCTCGTATGTACCCTTGTGGTTAATTTTTTCGGGTTCTAAGCACAAGAATGTGTTCTATCGCGCATTCTTCCTCGGATTGATTCAGTTCCTCTGCCGATTTGATATCCCAGTTTGCAGAAACAGTCTCTGCGACGACCGCTGTGACCAGGAACTAAATCAAACCGAAGAATGTAAATGATGCGAGCGAGAGTTTGCAGGATACTTTTTCGGCACAGGAGCCTGCAAAATTTTGAACCTTACATTCCAAGTCATGAAACAGTTTCGAGTGCTGGAAACTCGAGCATGAACTGAAAAATGTTTCGTCCAAAGAAAAGGGTTTATCGACAAAATTCCAGAATACATTGTTAGCGCGGTACAAATTTTAATACATCTAGCAAGTAGGTCTGCACCAAACATCCGTAGCTGTATATTTCGAGTTCTTAACAATTCAACGGCTACCTCTCGACTGAGCAACTAATCAACGGTGGACAACAATTTCGCGCACTTACAACCAAAGAAGCTACTTGTGCCTGAACACGATTATGATCGCAGTGCAGTTATCTTTACAGCGTCTCTCTCGCACAGCTTCCTTTACAAGACGACGGCTTATAGTTGCAACAGGTAGTCCCTCCTACGGAAACAATATGTAACGTGCCGTTATTTCAGAGAACGGAGATACGTTAGTGATCTAAATGAACCGTATAAAACAATGGGCATCAAGAAAGGAACTATTTGCTCTAACCTTCAACAGTTTCTGAACAAAATCAACGGCATCACTTGGTCCAATTACCTGAAACAAGTTTAGAAACATTGCATCGTTAAAAAGAAATAAAACATAGAGAATAAGATCCGCTAGAAATCGGAACCGGACAAAAAACTATACCCCCCAGAGGCCGTCGCAACCAAGAATTATGAAGTGCTCTCTTTCTGTAAGGTCAAAAGAATGAACATCTGGGGTTGCAATAACGCCCACCTGCAAATTACAGAGTTCATGGATATATCATTTCAATCATCTTTTTGTAGACAGATGGAGGTAAACTTAAAGATTTTACCGCGTATATACAAAAGAATAATGATATAATTTTTCTTTCCGGACAAGATTCGAATTTACAGTAACTTGACAAATATACACTAACAACAACACAGGTTTTTACATATTTAAGGAATAGAGAGCTAAAAACATATTGTTTTAGGCCAGAGTCAAAATGTAAATACAGGGCAAAGTGTTAAAAGAAGAGAAAATATAACCTTTTTGAACTGGCGATCTCCAAAGGCCCTAGAAACTTCAAGACGCCCCTGTAGTTGTCCATTTGAACTCACATTGCCACCAGCCTGATGACGATCAAGCATGTTCCAAGCAGAAGGGAGTTCATAATGTTTCATGTAAATTCAGATAGAAGTACATATGAAAAAACAAATGAAGAAAACTGACGAGATATCCTTTTTGGAAATAAAACATTTTTCTCTATCTCGTGTTAACCCTAATTCGACAAATTTGTACTCCCAACTTTTTTCAGTTCATGCTCGAGTTTCCAGCACTCGAAACTCAGGAGCATGAAACAGGAGCGTGCTCGTATTCAGAAGGTAATGTATCCACGAAACAGTTTAACTCAATTCAACAAATTCTTCAGAATTGAGGCCTTTCTGTATATATGTGTGAACCTTACATTCAGTTCATGAGCATGAAACAGTTTAACTCAATTCAACAAATTCGTACTCCCAACTTTACGTATCCACGGCCCTTACCTTCTGAATACGAGCACGCTCCTGTGCATAGATGGCTTTGTGTTCCCTTGTCAAAACAATCGCCTTCAGGGGACACGCTTCATTAGAACCATTTTGCAACCCCTCAGCAGGAGATGATCTTGCTACCACTGCTTTTGCATCCCCAATGTTAGCAACAAAAACCTATAACCATCCAGTAGCATTACAATTCGAATTGATAGGGTGATCTACCAGAAATTTGCAAACTGTATCCTTAAATGAACCCAAATTACAGAAACTAGACCAAAGAATGCAACAAAGTGATGCTTAATGTATCATACCACATATATACAAAAAGGCCTCAATTCTTCAAATTTAGAAACCGATTTCCATATTTAGTACTTACAGTTTTTCCTAATATCCAAACACATACAGCTGTAGCACCATCCTGCCACCCCCCTAACAGCAAATTAAAACCAACACATGAAACCTCAGAAGATAATAGGAAAGCATTAGTTCATGAAATGGTTCTCTACGATCTATATGTGCGGTAAAATGATAGATAAACAGATAAAGCATATGAGAAATAACTAATTGAGATGCAATCGTTCTAGTGCTCAAACAATCAAGGCAAAGGAAAGTAAAAATCCGAAATAGAGAATGAAGAATAAATCTGTACCTGCAGCACTTTCTCGAAGAAGAGACTCATCAGTTTTCCGAAAACCTAAATTACAGGAATTGATTCAAATAAATACACTGAATTCAAAAAATTCACAGCTGGATCGAAGCACTATATGATAAGAAATAAAAAGACTCGAATAGCAATTTATACCATCAAGTATGGCTTTCTTGGCTGCTTTTATATCCAACTGCAAAATAATAGATACAATCACACTTCAAGGGAAACAAAGTTCAGGCGACCAAAATGTCGATGCAGTAAGTCAGGCATTAACATATATATACTAATGTGCATGGCAAGAATAGTTACATCAGTCAATGATAACCAGCAATCAAATTAACACATGGATGAAATTAAACAGGAAAACCGACGAAGCTCCTAGAATTGTTTCATAATTGAATTCAACTACCAGTGCATCCGAGAAACAATCCAACAAGTACAGTAACCATGGAAGGTGATCATGTCAATCTGCTATAAAGTATCAACAAGTGCTTAAACATGTATACAAAAATCAGACCAAGCAAACACACCAACTCACGTGGTAATCCGGCTGAAAGCACATTCGTGTTCAGATGCTTCTGAGCATACTCCGCAGCCAATCGACCTCCATGCCCATCATAAACTGCAAAATGTGCACATCTGACCCCCAAAACAAAATCACAACCAAAAAAATCCGAACTTTAAGCAAACACAATATTAATTACAATAAAAGAAACAAACAAACAAAGCATTGGAATTTAAAACCTCAAATTTCCGGGAAAATCCTCGCCAGCGGCGTCCAAGAGCACAACCCAACCGTCCTCCATGGCGTGCCTCAGCCCCTTATGCTCCGCCGCATCGGCCTCGATTTCAAAACCCATTTCCCTTTTGCTCATATCAACTTCTGGGTCTTCATCTTCTTCCGTTTTTGACTTCTTGGCAGCTGAAATAGCATTGCTGGAATCGCCTTCCCGCTTGTTCTTTTGCTTTGACGCGGCCTCCGCCTCCTCTCTTGCACTCTCGTTCGTCGGGACTGGATTGGCGGTTTCGGTTTCAGTCATCGTGTGGAATCAACGAATCAAACAAGTGGCCACTGCAACCAAGAACAAGGAAAAAGATTGTTTGGTTGCTGAGAAAATATTTGAGCTTGACCAAATTCACGATTGAAAGGTTGCAGCTTTAATAAGAGGGATCGACGATGCAAATTAGAGCTTCAAGCCGAATGACGATCCCATCCGATCCAAATGGTGGGATCTTATGATTCTCACGTCTTATCCTAACCGTTCGTTCATCGTATACTGTCTTCTTCTAATCGTTCATCAATTAATTTTCGTCAGATAATATTTATTTTTAATTTTAAATAAAAAAATTTAAAAAATTTCTGATAACACAACATACAACAAATAATTAGAATATAAGAATGTTTGGTACCCTCACCGTTTAAATCGGGATGGGATCTCCCTTCAAGCCATCGACCCGTTATAATATAAAGTTTCACAGATTATACCCGCAAGTTTCCACTTTTTGTGTATTCGACCACTCCAAAACTAAAACATACAATCAAATATATGATAGTTACACCAGGTACACCTATTAATTAACAAATATAAATATTTCGCAATATGAACAATTTTGTGTAAAAGAAGTAAGTAAATGAGTGTCATTGTGTCAATGACTATTTTGGATTGATAACAACCCAACAGGATCCTTTTTGCGAGGAACCGGAAATCTATTAATCGTGTCTGTTTATCGTATATTACGGGTTAGTTTTCATTAGGTATTGATTGTATTTAATTTTAAATAAAATAATTCTAACCGTACGGTGTATGATAAACAGACATGATTCATAAATGGAATAGGATCCGAAAATGATTCAAAGTTTATAAAGACATGTTTAAATGTGCTTTTAAAATAACTGAAAATGTTTTTAAAAAATATTTTTTAAAATCTCCCTATATAAAAGCTATCCGTCTACCTCCCGCCTGCGATTGTTCTAGGCTCTCTTCTTCTCGAAGATTCTCAGGCTCCGCTAACGACCGCGGCGGAATACCCACACCGACGATTCTGAAAAGCCGGACACTTTTGGTGCTTCCACTCAATTTCTGGGTGTCAATCGGTGCTGTTTCTCCTTTTCCGCCTTCTAGAGTTAGGGCTCAGGGTTGGAAATTGGTGAATTTGTACATTTTGTATTACGATATCAAAATTCTAGGGTTAGGGTTTGTTCAATTTTGAATTCTGTCTTTCTCTACTTTGTAGCTTTTGGGGGATTATGCCCAATACCGTGTGTAACTGAGAATTACTGATTATTATTTTTTGATTTGTTTGTTTACGATTTAATTATTTTGGAAAGGAATAAAAAAGAAAAAAGAAGAGTAAAAGAGTGCAAAAATATCATCAATAAAAATTTGTTCTTGACTGCACCATCCCAAGTTCCCAATTCCCATGTATTCATATATATAAGTATATACAGAAATAATTAAACTTTCACTCACATTGTAAATGGGGAGCCCTGCATTAAGCAACCGAAATAACGGGCAGCGGTTAGGCATTACAGAGCCCATTTCTCTGGGCGGGCCGACGGAGTATGATGTGATCAAAACTCGAGAACTCGAAAAGGTTGTGGTTTGATTGATGTTTTTTATGATTCATAACTGAATTTTGGGTGTTTAGTTGAGGTTTTGCTGAATTTTGGTTTTGCTGTTGTTTTTTTTTTTTGAGGGTTTTCAGTATTTGCAAGATGCTGGATTGTATGAGAGTCAGGAAGAGGCTGTGGGTAGGGAGGAGGTTCTTGGCAGGCTAGACCAGGTTGAACTTTTTTTTTATGTTCCTGCTGTTATTATTGCAATGTTCGTATTCGTGATTGAGCTGATCAGTTGCACATTGTCTGTTCGTGTTTAATTATTTCCTTTCTTGATGATATATATTTGATATTGTATTCTCTCTGATTTTAATGTTTAATGCTGGTGTTGAAATCCAAGTCAGATTGTGAAGACGTGGGTTAAAACAATTAGCCGGGCAAAGGGCTTGAATGAGCAACTGGTGCATGAAGCAAATGCTAAGATTTTCACCTTTGGTTCATATCGGCTAGGGGTATGAAGCCCTTTCACTCTTTCCTTCCCACTCTATTGATGGTTTCTGTGTTTGCAATTGTCCGGTTAATGCCTGACTGTTGGAAAGTTATATCTTAAACACCTTTAGCAGTGCTTGTAGATTGTAGATACAAAGCATAAACTTCTCTTGTTGTACGACATTGTCTTGATTTCAGTTGTGTTACTGTCGTAATTAAGTAACACTTGAACCCTATCCAGAAGCATAGACTTTCTCTTTTTAGAAGAAACTATTTTATCGATTTCTCTCTCTCTCTCTCTCTCTCTCTCTCTCTCAAGTCTTTGTAACTCTTGATGTATTCGTTGTCTAGAATTGTTAACCTACAGTTTCTATATTTTAATAATTAGCAAGATACTTGAAACTTGAAAGAGTTGTTGTTCACCATACTTGCTTCCTGTTCTCTATTTGTGCCTGATTTGTTACATCTTGATTGAATTATTAAGGGTCAGAGTTGTCTTGTCTGAGCCCTTTACTTGATAAATTATGAGGCTTCTTGTAAATAATGCTATTTGGATGTGGAATCTGTGATGTTATTCTATGTTAGTTTTTTTTTTCTCATTCTGGGCTTCACATATTCCTTTCTTTTTCTCATTTTCCCCTTATTGTCAGGTTCATGGCCCTGGAGCAGATATAGACACACTCTGTGTTGGACCTAGACATGCAACTCGAGAAGTATGATCAGCCTTAACTTTAATTTGCAATAAGTTCTACTTATTTTTGCAGCATCACTTAATCAACTTTCAGTTTCTTTTATGACTTTGGTGTAGGGAGATTTCTTTGGCGAACTTCATAGGATGCTGTCTGAGATGTCTGAAGTGACAGAGTTGCATCCTGTTCCTGATGCTCACGTCCCTGTTATGAAATTCAAGTTTAGTGGGGTTTCAATAGATCTTCTTTATGCACAACTTGCACTTTGGGTTGTTCCTGAAGTAAGTGTTGCCTATATGCTTGAATGTTTATGTTGCCTATATGTTTGAATGTTTATATTAGACAATCGAACACCTTGTCATCTTTTAATTTTGCATGCATTATTCCATATAAATTATGGTATCATTTGTTTTCAACGTTTTCCATTTGGAGCAGGACTTGGATATATCACAAGACTCAATACTACAGAATGCAGATGAAAAGACAGTTCGTAGTCTCAACGGCTGTAGAGTTACAGACCAAATTCTGCGTTTAGTCCCTAACATTCAGGTTCTCACCACCAATGACAAGCTTGTTTGCATATGGATTTTTGTTTGAATCTGTTTAGCATCTTTTTGCTTCTCATCGTGTATCTGAACTTTGGATTGTAGAGTTTCCGCACAACATTGAGATGCATGAGGTTATGGGCAAAGCATCGTGGTGTTTATTCAAATGTATGGTGGGGTATTGCTGATGTGCTAGATTATTCTATAACTCGCACAGTATTATTTTTGCTTATTATGTGTGTTTCTGTCATGAGCAGGTTACAGGTTTTCTTGGTGGTATAAACTGGGCAATTCTTGTTGCTCGCATATGCCAACTTTACCCGAATGCACTGCCTAATATGCTAGTTTCTCGGTTCTTCAGGGTATATACTCAGTGGCGTTGGCCAAATCCAGTCATGCTTTGTGCTATTGAAGATGGGTCTCTTGGACTTCAGGTTTGGGATCCTAGAAGATATATAAAGGACAAATATCATTTGATGCCTATAATTACTCCGGCTTATCCCAGCATGAACTCTAGTTACAATGTGTCTGCAAGTACTTTGCGTATCATGTTAGAGGAGTTTCAGAGGGGTAATGAAATTTGTGAGGTATGATTCTCCATTCAAGTTTTGATATCTTCTTTCCCAACACAAAACATGTAGGTTCCTTATTGATTTGTATTTTGTAATCATTTGGCCAAGTGGAGTAGTGATATTCTTGTTCTTATTAACTAGGCTATACAACGTCTAGTTTTCATTTTAAATGGTTGATTTTTCATTGGCATCATACCAGTTCTTCTCTTTGCTTTAAGCAAAGTTATTCCAATTTTGTATGTTGCTCAAAGGCTATGGGAGGTTCAGCTATTTGTAGTATAGTCGTCTGAGTTTGAATCTATATTTGGGTCCTTTGTAAGTCATCGTGACCATGGGTTGCACCTATTGGGCTAGATGTTGGTTTGTGTCAATGATATCTGTAAATGAGTTTAGTGGGGGAGTTATATCCCTTCAAAACAAAATCAGCAAAATGGGAATATTGTCCCATTGTCAGACACACACACACTCTCTCTCTGTTCCCGAGTTTGATGTTTGGTAGTTCTTGCAGGCTATGGAAGCAAATAAGGCTGATTGGGATACCCTTTTTGAGTTTTATGCTTTCTTTGAAGCGTACAAGAATTATTTACAGATAGACATCAGTGCAGAAAATGCTGATGACTTTAGACAATGGAAAGGTTGGGTTGAGTCTCGTCTCCGTCAACTAACCCTGAAGGTGAAACTATACCTTTTACTTATTCTCCCCCCCCCCCCCCCCCCTCTCTCTTTTTTCCTCCCCTTCTCTCTCTCTTTCGGATCCTTTTTCATCTGTTTGTGTTTGAAAAATCTCCAGATTGAGAGGTACACATATGACATGCTGCAGTGTCACCCGCATCCAGGTGATTTTTCAGACAGATCGAGACCTTTTCATAGTTCTTTCTTTATGGGCCTGCAACGAAAACAAGGAGTTCCAGTCACTGAAGGCAAACAGTTTGACATAAGGGGAACTGTTGAGGAATTTAAGAATGCTGTCAACGTTTACACATTATTGAAGCCTGGAATGGCGATCCGTGTATCACATGTAAAACGCAGGAACATTCCTAATTTTGTGTTTCCTGGTGGTGTTCGACCTTTGCGCCCATCTAAAGTTACTTGGGACAGCAGGCGGAGTTCAGAACTGAAGGCTTCTGTTGATGCCCAAGCAGAGAAATCGTGTGAAGGAAATGGATCAGATAGTGGACAGAAGAGAAAGCGGGTGGATGATAATTTAGAGACTGACTCAAGGGATGCCAAGTCTTTACGTCTCTGCAGTGGGGAAGGTAAAACTGATTTAGATGGATCAGACAGTGGACAGAAGAGAAAGCGGGCAGATGATAATGTAGAGACTGACTCAAGGCATGCCAAGTCTTTACATCTCTGCAGCGAGGAAGTTCGTAAGGCTAGCCCTCCTATCAGCAATGTCAGTTCGCGTTCCACAAAATGTGACAGTATCGATGCAAACAAAAACCACAATAATAACGTGAAATTTAGCATAGGGAAGATGGAAAACCCTGCAGACATTCCTTGTCAGAATGGTCAGACTGAAGTATCATCGAGGTACAATCCACCAGTCGATAGTCTATCTTCTGCTGTGAATACATCAAATTGTAAAGAAGATGCACTGGAGAAGATTATTGTCGGTCCATATATTTCCCACCAAGCTTTGCCAGAAGTAGATGAGCTTGAAGATGATTTGGAATACAGACATCTAGTGAAAGACTTATCAGGAAACATGAAAGGCAGTCAAATGGAGGCTTCGAAGGAGAGCGTGTCAGTTGCAACACCAGTAAATTATAGCAACGGAGCTGCTCCTTCCACCGATTTATATAATGGGGGATTAGAGGAACTTGAGGTAAACACACAACTTTTGCTTGTGCTCTTATTTTTCAACTTTCAATGTTTTCATCTCATCGTTCATTTACGTTCCACTTCCCTTGTGGACTGCTACATTTCGCTGCATATGAAATATTTTCTTAAGGTTTTTGTTTGGTTTTCTTTTTAGAACATCGAAAGGTGAAACTGATCTTTCTACTTTATCCTGTGTCGTTATCTGCCTTGGTGTTTTCGGTTGTCTAATACATCTGTGTGCTTATTCATTGGAGCTTTAAGTCATTTTTTCTTTATGTTTTAATTTTTGAAGCCTGCTGAACTTATGGCGCCACTCTCAAGCGGAACCCCTTCTCCGCCTGTGGCTCAGAGAAAGCCGATCATCAGGTATTCATCGATTCAAATCAAAATGTAGTACCATTTCATTCTAATTATACGCGATTGATTCGGCACGCCAGAAATACTTTGAAAAACTGGTACATTAGTCTTCTTTCGAGTAACGTTTGTGTCTCGAACCTCGTTTTCTTTTCCTTTCATTTGCAGGTTGAATTTCACTTCATTGGCCAAAGCTGCCGGTAAAAGCTCATAAAACGGAAGTTCAATGCCGAAATCTTATGTATAATGTGACTTTATTTTCCCCGACTTTTTGTAATAACAGTATAAGGCTTTCAAGTTCTTACTTATATGCATAACAATTGTGAGAAAAACTTGTGTAAGGGCGTCCTGACTATGTCGTTCGTACACCAAGTTCGACTCTACAAGTAGGGATCCGAACTTAAGGGTGGACGCACTCTTAGAATCAACCGGTTTTACTCACATTTTCTTTATTTTAAGAAGTTAAAATGAAAAAATAAAATATTTATTGATTCGAATTAATTATTAATAATCAAATTTAATGTGATACAATGTAGGGTAAATTTTAATGTGAGAATTTGAGGGAGGTTGTATGCTGCGGTTATACACAAAATTCTCATAATTAGCATGTGAAAATTATATATTTGCATAAATGTCAAAATGATTCATGTGTTGTAATCATTTGATTAATTTAGTTCTCGTGTTTATTCCTTTTTCATCCAATCTTTATTAAAAATTCATAAAATTATTATAACCTATAATAAAAAAAATATGGTTCAATTGAAATAGAAAGAAATGTTATTTCAAAATGAGAAAGAAAAAATCAAACAAACTTGCCTTGCCATTGGCCTTGTTCTTGACACAACCTCCAACACTAGCCACAGATGCAGACAACTCGACAAACCATCTCTAGATCCACCTAGAGTTCACCTATCACCATGCGAGTTCCATCATCGTGGTCCCAAGAAATTTAACCGGGACCACATTATTTTCAACTGTGTAATCAAGAAATTGACTATAACTGAGAGAGCCATATAATACCATTTCTCTTTATTTAACTATTCTTTTCATGAAAATTAAAATTTACTGAAAAATGAAAATAAATAAGAAATAACACATAAAAAAAATAAAACTCTCATCTTGAAAAATTATTAAGTTGTGACAAATAAAAGAAAGGGACGACGTTTGAAGACGACGGGAAGGATGGATGAGAGCTTTTTTTTTTTTTTTTTTTTTAATTTCTTTTCTTTAATATTAAATTAAATAGATAATTTTATCATAATTTATAAAAAAAATTAACCAAAATTAGATGAAATGTCTAATTAGATAACGGAGAAAAACACAAAAAAAACAAATTGCCTAAATTAAAAATAGGGACACTAAGTTAACGCAATAACCCAAAAAAAACGCCACTTGAACATTTAAGCCAATAAATATTACCCGTACAATTGTTGTCAAAACTCTTTTCCGCTCTGACTATGTTCCACGCTTATTCGTTAAACTTCATATTAATTTTTAGAGAGAGAGAGAGAGAGAGAGAGAGCGAGGGATGGAAGTGGAGCAGGTGGACTATGTGCTAGTGCCGCTGGGTCTGCTGGTGCTGGGTGCATACCACGTATGGCTGCTGATCACCATCCACCGCCATCCTATTCGAACTGTCGTTGGCCTGAACGCGCAGTCTCGCCACCAATGGGTATTATCCATCATGTCTGTAAGTCAGTTCCCCACCTCTCTCCCTAGAATTCAATTGGTTTTGAACTCGCTCTCTCTCTCCAGAATTACATCCCATACAAACTAATGAAGGAAATCCCTTGTTGGGTTTTTGAGATTTTAATTATTTTAATGAATCTAGGAGTCAATCAGAATTATAGTGATTCTCTTAAATTTAACGTGTATTCAATCAGGATTTTAAAATAATTTATTAAAATTCTTAGGAATCTGAATGTATTCAATTAGTATTTTAAAGAAATTTATAATATTCTAGGTTATTCAATTAGAATTTGATTTTAAAGAATTTCAAAAGGTTAGAAATAAGAAGGAATTTGAGAGATTTTGTAATGTATTTTAAGCATTCACAAATTTCATCTCTCCTCATGAGATTTCGAGCAACTGAATCAAAATTTTACATGAAATTCTTACAAATCAATTAAATTCTATAAAAATCCATAAATTTATAAATCTATTGAAATCTCTCTAATTCCCAATTGGATATCCCTAAGCATTAACATGATTATGATATTACTTTTTGAGCTAATATCGAGACGAAAAATGATTTTCGCACATCATTTTTGTATTATTGCGGTCCTCTCTTGAATCAAGGGATGAAAACAAGTGAACAACCGCAGAAGGAGAGACCTTAGAGTGTGAAAATCGCTACCCGATTGAGATTCTAACATTGATCCTTTACTTGTAAGAAAAGATTTTTGCTTTAACTTAGTGTTGTTCATGGCATCCTTGTTGCTTGTGATTTTCAAGATTCTAACTAGAGTTAAGATTCTTCAATTTAAGCATTAGTAGTTGAAGGATTCATGTGCCATAGTTAGGCTGATCTCTGGACACGACCATTTTGATTGAATTGTAGGTAGTTCGTATACTTTTCGATCCGCAGGGAAAGTTTCTCCTTCAAGTTCACATATTTTGGGATCTTTTGGTAGCTGAGATTGGGTTGAATTGGATAGCAAACATAAAATTTGAGGCAGGATTATAAAAGATTAGACATGAAACGGGACGAGAATGTAGTTGAATAACTTGAATATAGTGAGTTATCTAGTCCAATCCAAGAAATCAAACGAGCCCCGAAGGTGTATTTGAAGCTAGATGAGATACGAAATTTCCTGTATTTTTTATGTCTTACAGTATTTAATCACGTTGTCTTTGATGGATAAAAGTTAGTCAGATCATAGAGGTAACTCCTCTCCATTAATTCTAATTTGATCAGGACCCCTTGAAGAATGGTGTTTTGGCTGTTCAAACGATACGCAACAACATAATGGCGTCTACGCTGTTGGCAACAACAGCCATCACTCTCAGTTCTCTCATCGGCGTATTTGTCAGCACTACATCGGACTCCGGCAACACAGCATCCAGACTAGTTTACGGGAACAAGAGTCCGATTCTCTCTTCGGTCAAGTACTTTTCCATCTTGCTTTGCTTTCTCGTTGCCTTTCTCTTGAATGTGCAGTCCATTAGATACTACGCACATGTTAGCTTCTTAGCCACCGTGCCCACATGGAAAGGCCAGAAGGATTACCTCGAGTACGTTGCGCGAAACTTGAATCGCGGAAGCTATTTTTGGTCCCTCGGATTGCGAGCATTCTACATCTCGTTCCCACTCTTCCTCTGGATATTTGGCCCCATCCCCATGTTTGTGTGCTGCTGCATTATGTCATTTGTTCTGTATTTCTTGGACACAACCACCAGTTTTACTAGACATCTTCACACTAATTCCATCCGAGGAACCGATGATGTCGAATCGGTTGGATAATCGTCGTCATAAGGTCTCGAAAATTGCCTTAATTTTAGTTTTTATACTGTTTTATTAGGAATTTAGAATATTTGCAGGGTGTTTATATCCTCAATAGATGGGTCCTCTGTATATTATGCGTAATCGGGTATGTAGTTAACTGTTAAGATCTATTGGAGGTTGTTAACTATTAAGATCTATTGGAGGTTACGAGAGGTTGCCGCAGTGGCGTTCTAGGATTCATACAACCAATCCTACTTAATGGGATAAGGTTTTGTTATTGTTGTTGTTGGAGGTTATGGGATCATTTGTAAAATAAATTGTTTGGGGGATTTGGATAAGACTCTGTTGTTGTTGTTGCTGCTGCTGTTGGAGATTAGGGGATCATTTGTAAAATAAATTATTTGGGGGATTTGATTTAATCTGACCTGAAGTAAGTATTTTTGTTTCTTTTCTCCCAGTTTTATTTAAAAAAATTCAGCAGAACAATGATTTCATGTCTTATTTTATGTAAGTCGAACATTTGTCATGCATGCTGCAGCGAACGTTTGGTTTATCGGAGGATGTGCAGAGTTGTCGCGCCTCGAAAACCTTGCACGAGCTTATAAAGAATTTGGGTATTTTCCCTTACTCAGTGTTCGTCGCGGGGACGATAACTGGTACATCGGATGTGCATCCTTCCCGGTCTCTCGTACTAGGGAAAGATTCTCACAATGCTCTAACGTCCACACCAATATAGACCAAACTATCTCACGACGTTCTGAATTCAGCTCATGTATTGATTTAAATGACAAACATCCAACTATTATTAATCGATTTTAAAGTGGAACTTCAATTTTATTCAACATAACAACCATATATAAATAAATGACGTGTCTTTTGTTCCAGACTTGAGTTACACCAATTTATAAAGACAATGTGTCTGTCTCCTAATCGAAACTAATTAAAGTAATTTTGAATATAAAAAGGGACCACTCTTCGTTTATTCAAAAAACCAAATAAAATAAATGTCGGCAACCATCTGACTGGAGTAACGTGACCTTAAATCACATTCAAATAAAAAAAAAACGTGCCACTTGTCTTTTGTTTTGATCGATCATGTGCCGTTTGTCCTTTATTTATCAATGGTATCGAAGATCAGATCCAAGGCGATCTGAGGCGTTTAGTCCCAAACGTTGACATAATTCCATGGTTGTTCTGGTTTGCGTTCTGTCGTACTTTGCCTTTAACTAGTTTTCGGTTCTCGAGACTGGAAACAGATGAGGGATATGGGATTGGATAGCTTAAGCTTGAACTATTATCTGGTGCCGGCGGGACTGTTTGTGCTGGGAATATACCACGTTTGGCTACTCATCACAGTGCTATGCAATCCCTCACGAACTGTCATTGGCCTCAATGCTGTGGTTCGCACGCAATGGATCTTCTCCATGATGACTGTTAGTCCCTCTCTCTCTCTCTCTCTCTCTCTCTCTCTCTCTCTCTCCCCCTCTCTCTTCCTCTCGTTTAGAGGTTCTAAAAGCGAAATAAAAGTGCTTTTAGAATGATTAAGCATTTTTAGAGATTCTTCTAGCTATGATTGGCAGAAAAAGAAAAGAGCTTCTGGGTTAGTGCACATGTTTCTTTTAGAAAGTACTTTCCTTACCCCCTTCTTTATTTATGTCTTCTGTCTTGAAGCGCTTTTAGAATAGCTAAAAGCAAAGTATAAGTGCTTTTAGAATGACCAAGTGTTTTTGGAGGAGCTGCTAATTATGTTTAGCATAAAAAGTTAAAAGGTGCTTCTATGTTAGAAAACTACTTGGAAGTGCGCTTTTCCAAGAAGAACATGGACCATATTAAAATTTGTGCTTCCTGTAATAAGCACTTACGAGAAAAAGTGCTCTCTAGAGAGAATTTCCAAACGGTGTTTTGATTTGTATTGCCAAACCTCAAGAAGTTGAGTCCATGAATTTCAGGACCCCTCGAAGAATGGAGTTTTGATGGTACAAACATTGCGCAACAACATAATGGCATCTTCCCTTTTGGCAACAGCAGCAATCACTCTTTCTTCGGTAATCAGCGTATTCGTGAGCACCAGTTCGAGCTCCGAAAGCACTTCAACACAAAAACTTTCCTCTCTCCCTCTCTCTTCAATCAAGTACTTCTGCGTTTTACTGTGTTTTCTCGTTGGATTTATCTGCAATGTGCTGGCCACTAGATACTTTGCTCATACCAGCTTCTTGGCTACCCTGCCAGTATGGACAGACAAAACAGATTACGTTGAATATGTTGCGGTAACTTTGAATCGAGGGAGTTACTTTTGGTCCTTCGGATTGCGGGCGTTTTACCTCTCAATTCCCATGTTTCTTTGGATCTTTGGGCCAATTGCCATGTTTGTCTGTTGCTGCCTTATGTCAAGTGCCCTCTATTTCTTGGACACTACCACCAGTTCAACACAACTTGTTCTCGGCTCTTCACTCAAAGAAGAAAGGGCGAGAACCAATGATGTGGAATCAATTGTTCAATCATCGTAAGTTCTCTTCGATAGTAACTGTCATAATTCGGAATTCTTAAGTCAATATTGAACATAACAGACTATTTATTTTGTTTCGATTATGATGTGTGTGTTTCTATACTCTGCATGTGTTTGGGTGTCTGTTCATATAAGTTGCTTCTTTTTTTAGCAGAAAGTCATGCATGTCTTATATTGTTACGTTCGGTCTTAAGGAAATCATAGTCTAAGGCGAAGAAGTTGGATGAATAGCATAGTTGAAACTTGAAACCAATGTATTCACTTGAGTGCGGAGTTCGTGTTATATTTATGCAAGTTCTGTAGTTACATTCTTAAGCAATAGTCTTGATTCCCCTCGTACAAATGCTCAAATGTTGAAATTTTTTCATATCAGATCGTACATTCTGCAGAAAAGAAAGCGCCTAACAAAAGAAATCGTATGATTTTTCACATCGTATAGGCTATTAGTAGGTGCCATTTGAAAACAAACTTGTTAACTTGTGTGATTTTCCTTAAACGTATGTAACTCTTAGAATGCTTACTCTAAATAGGTGCTGTTCCAAATTCTCAGGGAAAACTCAGGCCGTGAGGACCTTAATCACCTTCGCTTCCCCCTACTTACTGCCGATTCAGCTTCTGCCTCTTAATGTTGCCGGACAGTCTGCAATGTGTTTCTGTTGCTGGTTGCTAAGTGTTTCCCTCTCTCGTCTCTGCGAGCATTGCGTAGGCTTGAAGGTTCGCCTTTATGTTTTCGCTCAGCAAAAAGGTGCTATCTTCTGGTTCTAAACTTCTAATACAGTGAGTCATGGTTGTATTTCATTTTTAAGAGTTCAATAACTCATCAGTTGGTACACCCAGGTCGAGAATCCTAAACTACGCTTCCTACTCGAACCATCCTTACTCCTTCAAACAAGTGAGAATTTTTTTTATTTTTTATTTTCCTTGTAATTCATTCAGCGAATCATCGTTCGCTGAAAGGCTAGAAAATAATAAAAAAGGCTATGGGATGTAAACATTTCATACTTTTGAGTTTTGAGACCTTATCGCTGTATAAATTAATCGAAATAAAGTTTACAAACACGATTCACATTGTCATACTAAGATATATATTTGGCCAAACAAGACTAAGCTATTTGCCCAAATTATGAGAAATCCGGCTAAGGAAGTCCATGGACCGTCATGGACTTAGAGTCGACTGATGACTTGTGCATGGACTTAGAGTAAGGGCCGAGCCAGGAATTTTCAATGGGGCGGGCTACCTCATTCTTTTGCTAGGGAGGTTGGGCTTACAATATTTTGGTAGACTCTATACGTGTGAGTTTTGTGTTGCTATGGATTCTAGTTCTGCATGAACTCGGAGGGATACACAATTCCGATTGCTGAATTCGGCAATGAGGGCCGCTGTTTACACTGCAATATATGTAGCTTTTGCTTAAATGTGATCTAAATTGCATGAAGTAGGATTCAAATTTGAATGTAGATGGAGGAACATACTAGTCTAGTCAACTTAGATAAGTCCATATACAGATAAAATTATGTAATTATTCATAGTGTCATAGCCGAATTATGAAGCATGCCTTGTAGTTAAAAGAAGTAAAGGATGGCTCATGGATGAAACTTAAAAGATGGCTTTACTTTGAACTTGGACAATTTTGGAATGTTAATGCTAGCTGAAGCCAGCAGCAGCAAGCAGACATAATTGTGGAATGACGGAGCACTTGTCATCCCTACCATATTGTAATAATGCTTATATTCCATAGAAAAAAATATATGAGAGTGAATGATGGAGCACTTGTCATCCCTACCATATTGCAAGGAAAATGTTGGGAAGCCGACGTGCTTTGGCTTTTTCTTCAGTCTTCATCGTGATTGATGATCGACTGGCATGCACTACAAGATAAATGTTGTAGGTATTCTATTTTATTGTAAGCAGAAACGGAATATATATATTCAAGAGATTTAGAATCATTATAAATGCAATTAGCAGTATGAGACATAGTTTAAACTCTTATAAACATTGGCAAGTTTTCTTTTTCATCGATGTAGGACTTTTTTAACTTTACATCTTTACATGCTTTCTCATGTACATCTTTAGATGCTTCCTCATATGTAGTAAATTTTCAAGTTAAATACGTAAACTACACAAATTATATATATGTAATTATGCCGTTAACTTTCATATGCCTACAATTATTTCATAATGCATTTCAATAATCAAAAGCGTTTATATATGTGTGTGTGTGTGTATATATATATACATTTTTTTTTTTAAAACTAAAAGCGTTTATATTTTAAGTTTTCATTTCACGACAAAATGAGGGAGGGTCTAATCTTAAACGTAATAAAAATATATGGAATCTGAAAATAACATCGCGATATCTTGTCAGGTGTGGAATCTGATGTCTGTAAGATTAGCAGGAACCCTACACAGTACTGAAAGGATAAGGTACCCCCTACGATTAGTTGGCTATCTACTTGTCTGGTCAGACTGTTCCTATAATATTTGAAATTTTTGCTTTGTGTCCACGTTAACATTACATAAAAGATGAAACCTGCAAGTGGTTTTCCTTTTATCACATAGATATCTAGCTATTTCTTCAAATTGATTAGTTCCCTGAAGTGATCACGTGAGTAAATATGTTTCAATTTTCTTACCGCTAGTTTAGAAGTGCTTTTAAAATAACTAAAAACGATTTAGTTAAAAAAATTTAAAATCAATTCTTAAAAATTCGTAAGTAAATTCTGTAAAAACACACAGTACTTTCTGTAAAAAAACATCAGTTATATGCTTTTTACAGGAAGCATTTTAAGTATTCTTAGAATTCAAAATTTTCTCTAAAAACACTTTCAGTCTTGTTAAAAGCGCCTCTAAACAAGCCCGTAGTGTTAGTAGTAACCCTAAATGTCTATATGGGTTATGATAATTACGAGTGACTTGGCTCCACAATGAACGCTTGGAGATCCTCCTCAATTCATTTTGTGGCCAATTCACGAAAATTCGGGCTTATGACCAAAACTATTAATACTATAATTATCTTTGCAAAAAATAAAGGAAATATGAGATTATTGAGTCATCAAATAATATAAAAACAAATAAACGAATTTAGCAAAAACAATATCAACCGTCTACCTATTTACTACAGCTAGTTGACTAAATGATCATTTTTTTTTTATGAGATGACATTTACATAGTGATTTATAATATAAACAATTTCGACCATAACAACAAAATTCTGAATCAACCACGAAGTAAATTGAAGAGGAACTTCTTATCTATCTTAAGTAGCCAAACATTCCTTATTTATAATAACAAATCAAATACCTGACGTGAGGGATGATAAATTTTTCAATGTGCCTAGAACAGACTCAGAACACTAAGTGTCATAATACAAGTGGTTTAAACTTCTAGTAAACACTTTACTCGTTCTATTTTTTGGTTGAGTGACTTCCAATCTCTTACCTGATTGAGTAATTCCCAGAGTTACGATCGTATTTGTTCTCCTCTCTTTCTGTTGGCTTCCCTGCGTCAGTTATTATATACAACTCTACAATATGTATAATACCTGCTGAGAGAGATGCTATTAGTTGCTTGATATATCCATGAATGTGTCTAGGCAATTTTTCATATGACATGCATGTTGCATACGCCTTACAGATTAGCTAGTTATCCCACTTATTTTGTATGACACGTGAGAAGAGAGACTAATAATTACCTACATACGCCTTTGCACACACCTAAGCAATGTTTTATACAACATGTTGCATAACCCTATGCGTACTAGCTAGCCCATTTATGTATATGATATGTTGAGAATGAATTAGACATTGATAGATAAGGAATTTTGCAAGAATTTATAAAAAGTTAGGTTACTTCCCATATTGTAAATTGATTTTATGGTGAAAGTACAATTCCTTCATGGTATTAGAAGATGTTGGTCCATGTGTGCATGTAAAGCCCAACCACCACACGTGCTCCACGTTACCCAGTTCCTGTTATCCACGTGTTTGACTTGATAATTTGACACACGTGAGAGGTCGTGTGAGGATATGAATGTAGAATGAATCCCACATTAATGGAAAGAGGAACTTTGCAAGGGCTCATAAGAGGTTCGGTTACTCCCCATATTACCAATTGGTTATGGTGGAACCTTAATTTAGTTTATGATATTAGAGCAGATTGTCACGTGTGAAGTCCAACGGCCACACATACTCTATGTCACCCAATTTGTGTTGCCTATGTGTTAGGCTTAAAAACTCGTCACACGTGAAAAAGTGTGTTGATAGTGAATCCTACATCAAGAAAATGAGGGACCTTGCATGTGCTAATAGTAGTTGGATGACTCCCCATATTGCCAATTGGTTATGGTAAAACCTTAACTTTCTTCATGATATTAGAGCAGATTGTCCATGTGTGAAGTCCAACAGCCACGTGTGCTCTACACCACCTAATTTATGTTGTCCACTTGTTGGGCTAGAAAATTTGTCGCACGTGAGTGAGCTTGTTGAGAGTGAATCCCGCATTTGGAGAAATGAGGGACCTCACATGTGCTTATAAATAGTTTGGCTACTCCCCATATTGCCCAGTTAGTTTTATGCTGGAACTTCAACTTTCTTCATGGTATCAAAGTAGGATGTCCCATTTGTGAAGCCAAACGCCACACGTGATCTACATCACCTAATTTGTGTTGCACATGTTAGGCTTGAAAATTCGCTACACATGTGAAGGCTTGTTGAGAATGAATCTCACATTGATGAAAGGAGGAACCTTGCAAGAGCTTATAAGAGGTTGGACTACTCTTTATACCGCTAATTAATTTTATGGTAAAACTCCAACTTTTTTTTTTTTATGATACACGAGAGGAGAGAAACTACTAGTTGCTGGACACACTTGTGCATTTATATATATATAACATGTTGCATGCCCGTAGGCATACTGGATAGCCTGATGATGCTGTATGACACTTGACTATATATGTGAGAAGACAAAGATGTATTGTTAATTACACAACATGTTGCAGACAAATTTTTCTGTCTTCTCAGTAGAGAGTGATCATAATCAAATATTTCAAGGAGGGTCATTCGATTGTTTTTGGATAAGTTCCAAGTCTCAAGCCTTTTATATCATCCAATGAAAAAGAGTTCATATATATGTAAACGTGACATGGATATGGAAAGAAATGTCAAGGAGATTCTTTAAAAAGGTTTTTCAAGAATTTTCTAATACTTTACCGTTAATATCAATTCATATACTAATATTATAAAATAAAACTTACAAAAATAAAGTATATAGAGGGTCCTAGCATTTCTCTTGACATGTATAACTATAAGAAAGGGCAAAGTAAAGCCGCGCGCAAGAGACTAAATGGGGCATATCAAACTGCAGACACTTTCATTTTGTGACGATCGATCGACACGACTCTCTTTCCCTTTCTTTCTCTCTCACATCAAGGTCTAATCTGCATAGTTGGAAGACGCACAGTTTTATCATAACATGCACTTGAATAAGTGAGGTGGATAGAGATAACAGGTCAGGCTTAGTGAAGTTTGTGTTCTTCTTTTTTCCTTCTTTCATTTCGGAGATCAACAAAGCGTGTCATTCGCCAACTACATCCACATGATCGGTCAAGCCATGTAAGAAGATCATCCCACTAGGCACTAGCTAGAAATAACAAACTCAAGAAATCAACACTCTTTTTATTATGTTTCGGAATATCCTATATTAAGCACTAAGTAACATTTTACTATTAAATTATTGGTCATGACATTTCCCATTAAGAATTCAACGATTCAAAACTTAAAGAGTAAAATACACTTCAAATCATACAAGAAAATACCAATGCATGCTTGCCTCGAAACTCTTTATCTGTGCGATACATATTCGCTACTCCATCTACAAACGTAATCTTTTTCCACTTCAGTACTCTCAATTTCCATGGTCAGAAGGAAGATGCTTGTCTTTTGCCTGGCTACGGCTATAGCTAAATATATGACAAACACACACAATTGAAGGGTATGTGCAATGTAATTGTAAATTACAACTTTACTTTTAGCAACATATTATATTCCAGTGGATGAGAACTATGAATTTGTCACTCATTATTTATTTTTACTTTTTAATTTTCATATCACATCAACGACAAGT